CGTTCATCGTGTCCTGGGTCACGAAAGGTGCACTCCGCTTCCCGCACGTGCAGATGGCTTGCCAAACCAGGAATTTCTTCGCAAATTTGGACATCTTCTGAGTGCGGACATGCTCCGGAACGCTGAACTTATCCTTGGCAGTGAAAAACAGGTTGCCGGGGATCTGTTTGAAGTCGGCCTTCACATATGTTTCGTCGTCCATGATGCAGCATTCAACTTTCGTCAGCATGTTGAGGTACAACTTCCTGGCACGGGTTTTGGCGGACTTGTTCTGCTTCTCGTCGCGATTAGGGGCCTTTTGTACCTTGAACGTTCGAAGCCCAGCCTTAGTTTTGGCCTTCTGGACAAAACATCGGCTTAGGTGCAGCTTCTTAGCCACATCCCTAACGGAGGCGTTCGGATTTCGGTTGAAGGCCCCAACTACGCGGTTGTGATTTTTGGTGTTGTACGGAATACTTTTTCCTTCACTTCTGGGCTTCCGATCGGTGGTCAACCGTTCCTCGTACCGCTTAATCACTCGCGACACCGTGGAATTCGCGATTCCCAACGTTTTAGCGATGGAACGATGCGAGAGATCCTTGTTCTCGTGATGAATGCGCAAGATTTTATCACGCACGAGCTGTTCTTTCGACTCCATTTCCGCGAGTTTTGATCACAGGACTTTAAAACTTGCAGGATGTAAATAATGCACTATGATCTAAATCCACCCAAATTTTCATTAAATTCTACCCAACGGTTAAAAAGTTAGAGCAATTTCATAGTGTGGCAATTTCATCGTGGACACCCTTTAGTGTCATCTTGTGTTCTCCCAAGTTGTTAGCTGCCCATTGGTGTACCCCCATGTCAGTCTTTTTCATCAGTATGCCGCTTAATTCGAGATGAAGAGCACATTGCTCTCCAAACCTTGTGTTCTCAATCCCTACCCTTCCATCCATTTGTTACAATTTGTTACCCCTAACCTCGAGATAGCCGCGAGTAATTGGCCGCCGCGAGTAATTGGCCGCCGCTTTACTAACGTTAGTTTTAAGTACTTTTGTTATCTAAACAATGAATATCGGCTCCGCAAAGCTACAGCAGATGAGCCTGGAAAAATAAACGCATTATAAAAAAAAAACCTGGGAGGCTCTCCGGGACCACTACGAGAATGCGACGCTAACTTCCAAAGTGTCATTGCTGAAACAACTATGCGACAAACTGTATGCTGATGGCGAGGACATCGGGCAGCACGTGTACGATATGGAAGACGTCTTCGAGCGACTATCGTTAGCGGGCCAGGCATTGGATCGTAATTTGAAGGTGGCAATGGTGCTACGAATCTTACCCGAATCCTTGAACACACTCACGGCAAGACTAGGTCCGACAACGACTTGAGCCTCGAGCTGATCAAGTCGCAGGATTTTTCATTCTTGGCGTTCCATAAGGCGAGTGACCGTGATGCGTGGATCATCGACTCTGGCGCGACGGCCCACATGTGCGTCGATGCGGACAGTTTCATCGAGCAGGATAAAAGCGTGAAGCAGGGCGTCTTTCTGGCGGATGGCAAGAATATAACCACGGAAGGAGTTGGTTCGTGCAGGATGATCTGGGTGCCTCCAGAGGGTGAACGCAGCACTGTTCTCCCCTCGGATGTACTGTACGTCCCGCAGTTCGAGACCAACCTCATATGGGTGAAGAAACTTGCAGGCAAGGGAGCCAAGTTCGTTTTCGAAGCGGATGGGTGCCGTATCCAGGTGATTTCAGGCACAACCACTTCAGGGGGACTGTACAAACTGCGGACTGAGCGTGTTGCGCTGCAGGTGAGTGAGTCCAACCACAATCTAGAGTGTTTGCACACTTGGCATCGTATCCTTGGGCATCGTGAGCCAGATGCGATTCGTGATTCGGAGACGAAAGGACTAGCATCAGGAATCCACATCGAAGATTGCAGGTGTTACGTTACTTGCGAGTGTTGCCTGGAAGGGAAACTGGCCCGTCTACCATTTCCAAAGAAGTCCAAGAAGAAGTCGAAGCAGCCGCTGGACATTATCCAGACGGACGTGTGTGGACCGATGTTGACGCCGACACCAGGCGGTTGTCGTTACTTCCTAACGATGATTGATGACCACTCTCGCTACACCGTAGTATATTTTCTGAAACAGAAGTTAAAAGTTACTGAACGGATCAAGGAGTACGTGAAGTTTGTCAAGATTTTTTTTTTCGGAAGAACGCCCAAAGTGATTCGGTCAGACAATCACGGTGGTGAGTACCAGAATGAAGCCCTCGACCGTTTCTGCCGCCAAGAGATATAAGCCAGCAGTTTACCACAGCGCACACCCCGCAGCAAAACGGGGTCTCGGAGCGTAAGAATCGTTTTTTTTTTGTGGAAATGGCCCGCTGCATGATTCTGGACGCGCAGCTGCCGTACAAGTATTGAGCTGAAGCAGTGAATACGGCCACATACCTTCAAAATCATTTGCCAACCAAGCCCATATCGCAGACACCGTACGAGCTCTGGATTGGAGAGAAGCCTGATCTTAGGATTCCATCCGAGAAGCGTTCGATGTTGGAGGCGAAATCCAAGAAGATGCTGTTTGTGGGCTACTCGCTGCACCATAAGGCCTACCTTTTCATCGACCCCGAGACGCACAAGATGATCACGAGTAGAGAATGTCGCTTTCTGACACATCGGGAAAACGAACCTTCGCAGGGAAATGTCGTTTCATATCCTTTTACTGAAATTTCTCCGACGATTCGTGACAAAGCTGATGATTATCCCGCTTTTACAGCACCTGAGGAAGACGATGATGATGCTCCCGTAGCAACGGACTCCGAGGTCGATAATGATCAAGACGACGGTGTATCCAGCGACTACAACGGTTTTGAAACTGCCACATCCAACGACGAAGATGGCCGGGACGGCACAATCCGTCCAGGTGACGCAGTACCACAGGCTACCGAGGGACAAGAGGAGTTTGGCATTACCACAAACTTTCGCCGATCCAGGGAGTCGCGCCACAGAGGTTCTTGTCTGTGCAGGAGTAATGCGAGCCCCGTTCGTTCGAAGAGGCGATGAAGTGCCCGGAGCGAGATTTGTGGAAGCGCGCTATGGAAGAGGATATCCAATCCTTGCACGAAAGGCACTTGGCACAGAAGAAGAACTTCAAGATAACTACCCTCGGAGATGTCAGCAACTATCTTGGTATTCGTATTGAGCGAGGACAGGGTGGACGATTCTTGCCTCGTATATCCGTAGAATCGCTGCAAGATTTGGACAAGCAGACACTAAACCATCCCGTATATCAATGGACCCAGGTTACCCGAAACAACAGCAAAAGGAGGAGAAACCAATGCCACGGAAGGACGATTTCCAGTGCTTAATGGGTGCTTTGCTGTATGTTGCGGTAAACACGCGGCCCGATATTGTCATCAGTGCGTCCATTCTGGGGCGCAGGGTAAGCAAGCTACGTTGTTGATTGAGGATTTGAAGCTGGAGCTCGGTGGACCTGGCCAACTGCAAGTATACGTGGATGCTGACTGGGCCGGAGATCATCAAGACCGCAAATCAAACTCGGGCTTTGTTTTCCATCTGGGCGGAGCGATTTCCTGGGATGCTCGGAAGCAACAGTGTGTAACCCTTTCGTCTACCGAGGCGGAATACGTTGTCATAGCCGAGGCCTGCCGGGAGTTGCTTTGGTTCAGAAGCTAATGAATGATGTTGGTAAGAAAGCTGCCGGGCCGATCGTTGTCCGCGAAGCAAGCGTTGTAGGCAACAACGTAATCCAGGTTGTATACTGACTTACCGAGTCCATGATCGCCGACGCCTTGACCAAGCCGCTGGCGAGAGTGAAGCTAAATACCTGCCGGAAGGAGATGGTACTTCAATCGATACAGCTTGTGGAGGAGTGAAGGAGTTCAAGCAACCCATGATTGAAGCTACACCTATCATTCAATCACAGTAGGCTGTATGTAGATAGATAAGAAATATATGTCATTAGTTTTCGCTTTCTTGAACAGATCGGTTCGTTTTACTGACCGCTAATATAATTTGCATAAGCATGCTATGAGAACCATACGACTCGTATGAAACAATTTCCAGAGCTCAAAAAGTTCTTTCATACAAAACAAATTAGGCAAATTCACAGTGCTGGGCCGAAATATTCTATCACAGAATTCTATGCAAATTTTATTACATTACGTCAAAAGTTACTAAAATGGTCGTCGATGCTCCAAACGGTGCATTAGGAATCACAAAAACTTCATTAAATCCCGCCTTTCTGTACCAATCTTATGGATAATTCTGTTTTAAACCAAGTGGCATGATGAGTAACTAGTAACTCAGATCTGTCAAATTTATGTCAACGCTACGCAAACGGATCCATTGTGCGCGTGGTTCTTAAGATTCCGCCGACCCCGATATGGTAGACGCGCGTTCACTAACAAGCATAAAGGAAGAACTATGAATCCAAATGATAACTGGCGTTTAAAGAAATAATTATGTTTATGATGACATTTGCTTCAGTTTTGCTGAAGCGTTCATTAATGTTATTAATGATGTGTTAACGTTCATTATGTTTTTAGTGCTTAAAAAAAATTATTTTCTTCTAACAAAAAACTAGTGTTGATTTTTTTTCTATTTAATTCAATTCCGACCCATGGTATAAAAAATAGATGCATGTTAAACTTATTAATATAACACATAGATACTTAAGATATTACAGAATGTTGCTTTAGTCACTAATAACTAACACTGATAGATTAACTATTTCCAAACTTAATGCTTAAACGTTTGCTCAATGTGAAAAATCAGGGCTGGTTAAAGGATTATACCAGCAGCCATAGTAAAATCATTGTTACTATCTTTAACAATAAGTTTTAAGCTTTCTCGCACGTATTTTACAGAATCAATTGCAACTTTCTCGCATCATACCATTCATTGCAATGAGCCATTGATTAACCAAGCCTAATTAATTACACACCATTTAGCAGTCAAACCAACGACCACAACCTATCGCTTATTGCAGGAAATCAAGGACGAGTTCAGCATCATCGACGACTCGATCGACGGTCCTCCTTCCATTGGATCGGATGTGGTTGCCACGGCATCGCCGGTTCCACCCATTTCCATGGGAACACCGCAGCCATCGGGTAAGAAGGCTAAAAAGGAAGGCGGCAAAAAATTGGTCACCGGCTACATCCTGTACTCGAGCGAGCGTCGTAAAACCGTTAGTGCCAGTCATCCTGAAGCAACGTTCGGCGAGATCAGTCGTATCGTTGGCAACGAATGGCGCAACCTGGAGGATGAGGAGAAAAGCTCGTGGGAAAAACGGGCCACCAAGATGAACGAGGAGAACGCAGCGAGATTTGTTGCGGAGAATGGGGAGGCAAGTTGCCACAGCCCGGCGCCGACCAAAACGGACGGACCGATTGTGCAGGATATTGTACCCAACCATGTTAGTGGCCTTAAGCGCAATCTATTCAGCCCTGATGTTTCTTCATTCAGTGTGTCGATTAGACGTAGATTCGTGTTTTATGTTGCTGGGTTCGTCGATTGGTTTATTGGGAGCACTAATCGTTTCTTTTTGCTCTACAGGTTTACGAATGCTGCTGGGAGAAGTGTGACTACCAGTTCGAAGATCCCTTCGATTGCGTGGAGCATTGCATAACGGACGTGACCGGATGCGTGTACAAAACATTCATGAAGAACGCAGACCAGGAGTTTGTGTGCATTTGGCGAAATTGTGTCCGGTTACGACGCAACATGCCTCCATTCCCGCACATGCAGCGCCTGGTGAAGCACGTCCGTGAGGTCCATCTGACCAAAACAGTGGGCAAGCATGTGTTGCCTTCGGATCGCAGCAAGAATTTTATGCCAGCCAAAAGGCAGTCCGTTGCACAGCCACATCCTTCGACTGTCAAACAGCAGCCAACGACGGTTCCGGTTGCTGCCGGAAGTCCAAGTCCGGCACCTTCCGGTTCCGGGACTGGTGGCAGTACGGCAGCTGCTTCAACTGCTACTGCAGCGGCGGCGTCGCCGGCTGGTCAGACGCAACCCAGTGGCAATGCAACGGCGACGGCTGCAAACAATCAGTCAAGTAATTACATTCCAGCATCGTATTATAATTGTGAGTTTTGGTTTTTCTGTTCTTTATTAGTTATAATTTTGCCAATTAGTAAATCACTTGTTTGAGTATGACTCTAGCATGGAAGCAATTTGGTTCACTGACTCAAAATGCAAGGCTTTATTGCTTCAGATTGATCCAGTAAAAGGTACAACCAGCAGGGATCGTAGACTTATAGCGAATTTGTTTATTATCCAGGTTGGAACCAGTTCCAACCCGTGCGAACCCGAGCTTATTGTCAGTCCAACCTCAATCCGAGCCAGGTTACAAAAACAAACGTTCACACTGACGTTTGACAGACAACAAGCAGACCCAATCTTGATACCCGATCCAGGTTGGAACTGAACCAAAAACAAATTCGCTATTAATGAATTACAGTAGTTCCAATTACAATATTGCTGCTAGACTTACCTGCTTATAATGTTGTGCATGAACTTAAATATCTATGTAATTTGTAATTTAAATTTTAGTAGTATCATCAGTAGATGCGTGTGGTTTAGTTTTTTTTTATATTTTAAACTTTATATTTTTTAAGTTCTGGACTTAAAAACATGTATACTAGGAGAAATTTTCAAGAATATGGAACGAAGGTTGATTTCCTTGATGTCGGGCAGAATATGTTTGAGGTTTCAGGATTAAAGAATGAAGATTAGGGACCTTGCAACATTTTCAAGGCTTATGGCATTTGATGAAAACCATTTCAAGATAGTTCTGGGAGAAACTGAGACGTAAAATCTGCAACAGATTCCATGTGAATCCTGAGGAGAATAGCAAGGTAGATTTGATTGAAATTGCAAGATAATCCTGAATAGGATTCAAAAGAAATTCAGTTTTTGATTTAAACCGGTTTTTGAGGTTAATTCCGAAGGAATTCCTAGAAAATTTGGAAGAGAAGGAAGGTTATATCATGATTATTCTGATGAGAACTCCAAGGTAATACAACTAAGGAAATTCTAAGGATAATTTCAAGAAGATTCTGGGAGAAAATGAGCCCAGGACATCGACATTCGATAGGAATTTTCAGAGAATTCATAAAGATTACAATTAAATCTGAGAATAATTCTTCGAGATCCCCAAAGGAATTCGGTCAAAGAATTCCAAGAGTGTTCTGACAAATGTTGATGAGAAATCTAAAGAATTTGTGAGGTGAACTGCAAGTAATTTCTTAGGAAATCAAACTTGGGAGTTGAATTCCAAGGGAATTAGCAAAAATAAATTCAATGAAAAATCTGAGAATAATACCAAAAGATTTCATAGAAGTATTTCTAGAGCATTCAGAGGAAAAAGTCAAGGGCATTTCTAGGAGTATACCAAGGCTATTCCGGTGATAATAGTTTAGATAATTAAAAAAAGAGTAGACTTCCACACTGAGGCATAAAAATCTTAAGAATTCCATAAGACATGACTTATGAATTCAATAGGCATTTCATAAGCACAACTTATGAATGATTACCTTAATACAAGTGGTTCTTATACACCTTTAACCTATTCTATTTCTCAAGCGTTGATAGCAGGGCTTGGAGAGGGAACGCATTCTGCCTGTGACCTGCATGAACTTGAACATTTTCCGCATTCATCATTCGTAGTGATCGGCATTCACTGAACCTGATGAAAAAACAATCGCGCTGAACGGGATCTAAAAACAGACAGATTTAATTTCTACGCTGCATTGTGCTTTGTGCAGTTGCTTTGCTGATGCCGATTTTTAAATTCATTCTATAAATTCAGACGGATTACCTATCGGAAGCATTTCGCACACAAATTATTTTCCTTTCCAGGATAGCAGCGCTTGGAATATGTAAATACGTATGATACGATTCATCTCGATGATATCTTTTTTATATATCGGCAGTCACATTAGCGCGGGTTGAGCGTTGGAAAACAGCGATCCAGGACGCGGATTTTGCGTAAATGAAGGACTCCCGCACGATCAGGCAAACAATTAGACTTGTCAAATACCATACAATATGAGTATTTTTGGAAACGGTGTGATATGTAAATGCAGGAAATAGATATTCGACGCCATTTTGGAATGCAAGATGGCGACTTCAGGTATGCTAAAATACTATGAGTACTCGTCAAAAACCTTTGGATATTTCCGGAACCGGTGCGGAATGTAAATGCAGGAAATGGATATTCGATGCCAAATTGTAAACCAAGATGGTGACTTCCGATATGCTAGAACACTATGAATACTCTTCAAATACCATACAATATGGATATTTTCGGAGCCGGTGCGGAATGTAGATGCCAGTAATGAATGTTCGACGCCATTTTGAATTCCAAGATAACGACTTCCGATGTACTAGAACACTATGAATCTGCAAATACCATACAATATGGATTATTCCGGAAACAGCGTAACTTGTAGAAGTCGAAAATGGATGTTTGATACCATTTTAGAACTCATGAAAACTATGAAAATATTAATATTTCCGCAGCTAACGTGACTAAACTCGTCAAATGTCATACGATGATGATATATAAGAACCCGGCATGACATTAAGAAGTCAAAAAAATATACCAACATCTACTCTACTGAGGTTTTTATTTCTCTGCTTGTTTAAAAATTAATTGCACGTTGCCTTGAAGTTCGAAGATGTGTGCTGATCTGAAAGCGTTAACGCCAGAGCACTGAAAGCACGTTCCACTGATACTTGCGTCGTGGAACGGGGTAATTTACAGCAGCTGCTTCAAAGAGATCCTTTTGTATGGTATTCTTCTGTACCCAGTACTCCTAAACGTTGACATGATGTGGTTGTCGCAATCCAACATCCAACACACTTAACTGTTCTGAAAGCGTTTTGTTTGGGATACATTTCGGGGCTCCGCTTGAACCTGCTAGACAGCATCCAAGCATGTCCGTTCAAAAACTGTCCAGTTCATCCTGCTGAATAGCTGGCTCAGTAAACGTGGCATGCTGAGTGCTAGGTGTTAGTTAGTAGGTTGACAATTTAATAAAAAAAATATATATATATTAAACAATCCTATATGAAAAGGCAGTATAGATTCATTAAACTACTCTCATTTTGGTAAAAAAAAATCATACTGATTCTTGAATGTTATTATTAAAAAACCAAACAGGTAAAAATGGCGAAAAGACCGAAAATTTAGGGTTTTAAACCACCCATACGCAGGTTTATGCATCTACTAAGAAAATCGCAGTTTTATTCATTTACGAAACAATTTAGCTCTTTTGCAAAATTTATTAAACCTTTTCATATAGGAGATGTTTTTTTTTTTTCTGAATCTGGAATCTGGAATCTGCTCCCAGACACCTGAGAAGATAACTCAGGGTGTGGGGATGGGAGAAGTAGCACTCCTAAACCCACTAAACCTTACCCTGTGCTCTAGGCCCTTGCCCTCCCCGGAACCGCCCGAAAGCATTACGTCATGGGAGGGGGCCGGTTGCGCTATGGCGCATCACTAGGTGTTGTGTCCGACGTGACACTCGCTACTGCACAGTGAGCAGCTGTGCAGGGCCTTCCTCTTGTTGTTCACCTGAGTTCTAGAGCAGACGTGATAGCCAGCCAACTGTCCAGGACCCATACAGGACAGATGTGACCGCTTACCAGCTGCGTGTGCTAAGCACTCTAAGAACCCGCTGTCACTCCTGCCTTTGCACAACGAGGGTTTGTGCAGGGCTTCTCAACCTCCTGGGACGAGCTGGATGGGGTTCCAGCGTCCTTACTCTGCGGTAGTTCGTTTAGCCGCAATATCTCTCCATTGGGTTCGATAATTAACGTTTCCAGGACACACCACGAGGAGGCGAACTACTTCATGCCCCCATATAGGAGATGTAATAAGATTTAATCGTAGATCAGACTATATTTACGCATAGGGGAAATGGCTCTAATGTTGGCCTATGGATCTAACATTAGGCCCATCGCTAAAAACCTGCTATTTATCAATTGTATCTAGATGGACGCGTCATTGGCACGGTACTAATGGTTATTTTTGGTTGCTATTGAAAATTTAGTCGATTGCTGAATTTATGTATTTCCCAAATTAGGGACACTTAGGCCGACATTACATACATTTCCCCTATTTCCTCTCTTTCGTCGGAAGTGTATACTGTCGAATTTTGGTAATGAAACCTTGGATCAAGCAAAACGGCTGCTTTGAAAGGCATGTTTCGCTTCAAATTATTCAGCCTTTCTACGAATGATCCACAAAGCTGTGTGGCCATATAATTTTTGATTAAACTCACTCTTCTGGTGGTGTTCAGCCATTCCAAGTACTGCTGCTTATAGTCGCGTTATTCATAGTCTGGCGGATAGAATCTCGGGAACCAAGTTAGCTGTCAAATAGCGGAACCAATCGAGCAAATCACGATCAACAACAGAAAAGAGCACATCAGCTATTGCGAACAAAACTTCTTTTCTCGTGACTCAAGGCTCGCCTACGCAAACTAACACCATCTTTGGGTTGAGGAAAGTTTCCCCTATCAGATGATGCTGGTAATTTGCGTTTGATTGGCGAGGAAAGAATGATCAACGTTTTGTTTATAAAAGTTGATAGTACCTTTTCTATTGTTGGTCTAAAATATATTGAATTGGTTCCGCTCTTTGATAGATCGAAATTCTATCCGCCAGACTATGAATACAGCGACTATAGTCTAGATGCACTTCCACAGTTATTAATTGAGAGCTTTCGATGCCTGTACCATTTTTACATTGGTATAATTGTATGGCAAAAGTCCAATCATACTTCTATGTCCAGGGAAGTCGAGACATTTGCCAACCAGAAAAATTCCTAGACCGGACCGGGAATCGAAACCACCACCTCCAGCATGGTCTTGCTTTGTAGCCGCGCCTTTACCGACTGAGGTAAGGGAGGTCCCTGTTGAAGTGTACTCCTAGTGAATTATCAGGAGAATTCTCCGGAAAATCCATGAAAGGTATTAGTTACTCCCGCCGTTTACCCGCGCTGGTTTGAATTTTTTCACATTGTCATTCAGAGTACTGTTCTGCCGCTCTTCGCATGTCCGTCCCATAGCGAAA